ATTTATGTAAGGTTGGAAATTTAAAAATATAGCATTCATATTGAAAACCTTTTAATTGATCATCTCAACATCGAGATGTATGAATATGAAAAAAAAGATTTTTGAGTATAAAAAATAGTCTATCTTGCGGCACATTATCTGGACCGTTCATTTTCAAGATTTACATATGTTTATAAATCTACTTGATTTGAACCATTTTTAGAAATCTACTTGATTTGAACCATTTTTAGAGTTTAAAATGTATAATTAGAAATGAAAATAGATTTTTATGCTATCCTAAAAACATTTTACACCAAAATTACATGATAAAATTTAAAAGCGCGCCTTAATTTAATTGTTTAAGGTTGCAACCTTAAACAAATCACACCCTTTAAGTAAAGGACATGGACATAGAATAGATAATGGGCCCTTGGGTAGACATAGTGACAGAGCCGCAACATGACTTTAAGAGTTCCATTACTGATTGTTAACATGGCGAGAATGATTATGCAATTATATAAGAATGATTATGCAATTGTTCCCGGCTTTGTTTAAAATTGCTTTGTATGCTTCAATTGCTGGATGAGCCCAGCCCAACTGTAGAATCAGGTTCCTTTATCTCATTATCCTTTTGAGAAGTATGTAAATGGCTCCTTACTGATTTACCAAAAAATAAAAAAAATACAAATGGGCACCGGGATTTTTATAGGAAAGGATACCAGTATTATTTATCTTTTGGTTTTTTTTTTTTTTGAGGAGTTCAACTGTAGCATTGCTAAAGTCAACCACTAACCACTTAAGCTACTGATTTCGATCATGTAATTCTTGCACATGATTCAATAACTAATGAAGACCTAGTGGTTAAGTAAAATAAATTGAAAGTCTAAAAATCAAAGAACTGGTAAAATATTCACTATCCAATTAGGGGCTTTCATCTAAATGTTCTAAATTTGTGTTTTTGCTCTCATCCAAGACAGTATATCCCAAAAAATAAGGAATATGATACTTATTTGAATTTTCATTTTTTAATTGCTTAAAAGTAATTTATTACTTTAGACATAAATATTTGAAAAGAAAAGTAATTTGATTCATGTTGGCAGTGGATTAATAGCCTTAAATATCAGATCTTACCATTTTGTGTTCATTTCCTATTATCTACCCCAACAAATAATAGAAAATGTGCTAAACAAAAAGAAAATCTTTTTGATATCCTTTTATAGTTAATAATAGTCATGTGTTAATGTTAAAAATAAAAAATAAAAAATCTTTGGTGACACAAGGGAAACCTACAAATGAGTAGGCCTGCAATGTCCAATACTTCAAGGTACCACTTGGTGATAAGTTAATAACAATAACTGAATTCTCTTCTCGTATGAAGTACAGTCTCCAATCCCCGAAAATGTATTGGGACCCATCCTCATGAGCATGACATTGAAAATTTGAGACAGAATCCGAGGCATCTATCGTTCGATTACGCCGACTTACATCAAAATCATGTTTTGTTACTAGCTTTGTTCTTCTCGAAAATTCGCACAGTCAATCTATTGATTTCAGTCCAATATCAGAATATAGTTACATCATTTGATATATTGGTGAATTTAGTTTTCCCCTCAGGCCAGCATCAAGTTCCTGCTAGTATTCATTTCATGTTTGTGAAATCTCAAATTCGTCTTATGGTCGAAAGTGGGTTTTGCAGGATGGGACTCAAAAGCCAGATTTTAGAGTCACATGATTCTCTGCGAACCACTGGTTTTGCTTTCACCATGGGAACCAATGCTTGGAGAGCTCTAGAAACTCTTGGTGTTGTTGACTCCCTACGGCAGCAGCATGTCCGCCTTCAAAGGTAACAAGAACTCAAACTGTAAGTTTTTCTTCTTAAGATTAAGAAATGCACGTGCACATACACACACAAGGAGCAATGGCAAAGACACATTAATGTCTGAATCAATGTGAAAAATGCTTGTGTTTCCGAAAACTATCAAATCGGGGTACATCCAAGCTAGCAATAAATTTTTTGGATTTCACCAGCATCATCAGCTAATGTTTTAAGAGAAGGGCATTGATGCCTGAGTCAGACCACATTGGGGAGGCTGACATTTCTGGGCTGAAAGACCCTAGAATTCGCTCGAGGCTTCCAGCTTTCACTATGTTGGAAAATTAAGGTGGGTAAAAACAAGCTGGAAGCTGACAATTCTGGGCTGAAAAACTCTAGAATTCACCCGAGGCTTGCAGCTTTCACTATGTTGGAAAATTAAGGTGGGTAAAAACAGGCTGGAATGTGTAATAAGATGAAATTTAGCTAATGTTTTAAGAGAAGGGCATTGATGCTTAACCCCAGAATTCGCCTCCAGCTTTCACTATGTTGGAAAATTAAGGTGAAATTTAGCTAATGTTTTAAGAGAAGGGCATTGATGCCTGAGTCATGCCACATTGGGGAGGCAGACAATTCTGGGCTGAAAAACCCTAGAATTCGCCTTCAGCTTTCACTATGTTGGAAAATTTGAAAAACCCTTTGCAAAACCCTAGAATTAGCCTTCAGCTTTCACTATGTTGGAAAATTCACTATGTTGGGAAATTAAGGTGAGAATTGAAATTAAGGTGAGAATTCGCCTTCAGCTTTCACTATGTTGGAAATTTTGAAAAACCCTAGAATTAGCCTTCAGCTCTTTAAAAAACCCTAGAATTAGCCTTCAGCTCTCACTATGTTGGAAAAAAACCTTGAAAAACCCTAGAATTAGCCTTCAGCTCTCACTATGTTGGAACTCGCTATGTTGGAAAAAAAACCTTGAAAAACCCTAGAATTAACCTTCGGCTCTCACTATGTTGGAAAAAAACCTTGAAAAACCCTAGAATTAGCCTTCAGCTCTCACTATGTTGGAAAAAAACCCTAGCTCAACACTAGAATTAGCCTTCACCTCTCACTATGTTGGAAAAAAACCCTAGCTCTCACTATGTTGTAAAAAAAACCCTAGAATTAGCCTTCAGCTTTCACTATGTTGGAAATTTCACTATGTAACAGGCTGGAATGTGTAAATAGATGGATGATACTCACCTATTTTTGCACATACTTCTTGTTGCTCGGCACATGTGCGTAGACTCTCTCCTTTGGTCCATGAATAGAAGGCATGAAAGTGTTTCTATATTAATATTGCTCTTTTCATATTCCACTTTTCAATGTGGGGATAAACCTGGTACTTTCTCTTTTTATTTATTTAAAACTTTGAAAAATAACACAAGGTATATCATATTAAAAGATACTATAGTATTTTATTATACTAAAATACTAACACGATATTATTTTGTTTTCTTGCTAAAAATTCCCAATTCGATTTCAGACTTGCTCAAATCAGACTAGGGGTACTCTGGCTCGGACTCATGGCAAATTAGAGCCCAGATTTGACTTTTTAATGATATAAAGAATAGGAATGACCACCACATATATTATTCCAAGGGTCAATATGATGATTCTTCCTCAAAACTATACTTGCAGGGTGAGTACCACTTCCACAGTATCTGGGGCTACTACGCACGTGCCACTCACAGGCCGAGGCAATTTGTAAGTATTTTGTTCTTTCTTTTTTGAGTAATTCATCGGGGATAGCAAGCCCCTACCAATTTTTGAATTAGTCAATGGTTTTTGAAGCTGTCAGTTGGAATAGAAGCCACAACGTACAACTATCGCCATTGTGATATTGGACTTTGGATTGAAGTAGGATGTTCTTAAATGGATTTTTTTATTTATGTAAAGGAGCAAAACAACTAATGCATAGTTTTGTCATCCTTCATGTCAGTTTCTTTTAAAATGATCAGTGCAATACCCCTTCTAAAACTTATTTGAAACTTCGAACCTGTTTCTCAGCTATTTATTTTTGTGACATATTTCGGAAATCGGGATGTCAAAGTGGAGAATACGAAGCGCGTTGTTTGAGGAGAGATTTGATGGTGGAAGGGCTAGCCAGAGAACTACCAAGAGGGTGCATTCGGTTCGGGGCGAAGGTGGTCGGTATCGAACGGAAGCACAATGGATCCTTGTTATATCATCTTCACTTGGCTGATGGGACCACTGTCAAAGCCAAGGTAGCTCCTCTGATACACTTAAAGCATCATTATGCACTTCACTAGAAAAGAGTTGCTCTTGTTGCCCCCAATGAAATAACAGTAGCTACCTAAAAAGATTTTATGCTCCTGCGGGCCTCTCCCTCGAGTAAAAATCCAATATAGGACATTTTCTAGGACACCACATTCTGGGGATATGACCTCCTCAGCTCAGACAGGCGATGAACTTCGAAAAAAGAAACAATTAAATGAAATATAAAATAAAAGATTCATAAGCATTGTATATGTGCCTGAAAAAAAGGACTCCATCCAACTTGTTCATGGCCATTGAAACTCAAACTCTATGATTTTTTTTTCAAAATATTCATCCATTGATTCTAAAGTGGATTACAAAAAATTTCAATTGAGAAAATACTTATCAAATGGAGTGGGTGTACAGTATGCCCTTGTAGGGGCATACTGAACAAGCGCGATTTGAATTCCAAAGTAAGAGAGCAATAAAAGGAGAGGGCCAAAAAAACAATACTACAAGTGAAACCAAAAAATAAAAAACCAAACAGCAGAGAAAAATGGTGAAGGAGGGACACTCGTAGCCCTCAACTGGAGGACTAGATTAGAAGTGGCAACTGGTCGGGTCCTGACAGGTCCAGGCCAACCCGGACCAGAACCCAACCCAAGTCGATAGGGTCCGAGCCAAACTTGGACCTAGACCCAAACCCGACCATTTGGATCTAACAAATGGGCCGAACCTGAACCCAGACCTGATTCAGGATAACGTGCTAGATCAACAGATCGGCGCAACCCCATTGCCACCCCTAGTCTTTTTTTTTTATTCTTTTTCTTTTTGATTGTTAGATTCCCTTTGAGGCTAGGAACTAGATAGGAATGGATCATATAAACCAAACTATTCAACTAAAATAAGAGTCATATTTCCTTCCGAATTGTGACAGGTAGTGATAGGGTGCGATGGAGTGAACTCAGTGGTGGCAAAGTGGTTGGGATTGCCAAAACCAGGCTTTGTAGGACGCACTGCTGCTAGAGGATTAGCTCATTTCTCGGATGGCCATGATTTTGAGCCCGACCTGCAACAGTACTTCGGAGATGGGTTTCGACTCGGATTTGTGCCTTGTGATGACAAAACCATCTATTGGTTCTTTACTTGGTACCCTTCTCATCGAGGTGCGTGTGTGAAGTGTGTGAGTGTAGATGTGGCAACCAGGCAGATCTTGGCCCTAGCTTGGCTCATGGCAACTCTATGGCATGCAAGTCAGGCTTGGGTCAGGAATGCTAGAAGAGAACAATTTTTGGGCTGGATCGGGCTAGCCATGGTCCCGTCCGAAAATTTGTATAACGTACCTTCATTTTATATAGGAAGCTTTTTTTCAAATATACCTAAAACCATTTAACATTCTACCTATTTATTTTGATTTAATTTCAAAAATCCATCAAAAAATATGATCATGAGTTGGAATAGTTGAAAATGAGTAAAATGTTTAAAAGCTAATCTTTTATTTGTATTTTGATGATAAAAATTTGAATAAAATACACGTTTATAACATACAAAATTTGTTTGAGCCCATGGGGCCCAATATGTTCAATTTTTAGGCTGGTCTAGAACCTCAACAATATAATTGGGCCCTCTAGCCACAAGTTGTGGTTCAAGCCTCTGGCAGTGCCTAAGCTCAAGCATATAAATTCGAACAGAGCTTGGCTCTGGTTTGGCTCAACCCGCTAGCAACACTATGTGTGGGTAGGGTTGGCAATGGACATAACCGGACCCGAGACTCAACAGGTAGACCCGACCTCGAGTCTAGGTATGGGTACAAATTTTGGACCTGAAATATTGGGGGTATGGGTCCAAATTTTGGACCCAACCCGAAAAATATGGAAACTCAAGACTTTTTACTTGGGTATTGGTCTATGTAATTAACTTCTCAAAAGAGCTTTTAAACTCACTTAATTACGTGGGTTTAAAGTTTAAACTCAACTTCTAAACCAGCATCTATGTGGGTATTCATATGTGTTGCCGATATGTTTGTTTCTTATGAATATCCAGCAATTACGTAAACCATTAAGGAACGTGGGTAGTTATAAATGTTGCCAATAATATGGATATATGACACGGTAAAAAAGGCAAAAAAAAGAAAAAGCTCATGGTCGTGGGGTGGCAATGGACATGACCAAACCCATGGTTAAACTTGACGTCGGGTTCATATACGGGTTCAAATTTTGGACCCGTAAGGTCAAATCTGTTTGCAAAACCTAGACCTGAATACTATTTGAGTCCAAATCCTGGTCCAAACAATACCAACATTTCTTTTGGCTTTTGTAGAAAGAGAAATTGAGGATGACGCTGAGAAAATCAAAGAAGTAATACTGAAGAAGATACGGGGAGTGCCCAAAGAGGCACAGAATGTGATTGAGAGAACAAAGACAAATTGTTTAATAGCATCTCGTTTGAGGTGCATGTGGCCATGGAACCTCATATGGAGGAGCATATGCAGAGGGGCCGTATGTGTGGCCGGGGATGCATTCCATGCCATGACTCCTGAAATTAGGCAAGGAGGGTGCTCAGCATTAGAGGACGGTGTGATCTTGGCAAGATGTCTAGGAGAAGCACTTCTAGAGAGAGAAAACCACGAGTTAGAGAGAGAAAAGGCAAAGGAGGAGGAGGAAAGAATTCACAAAGCATTGGTGAAGTATGGGAGAGAGAGGAGATGGAGGGCTATTGAGCTCATTACTACAGCTTACGTCCTAGGGTTCATACAACAAAGCCGTGGGAGAGTGATGACCTTTGTGAGGGACACTTTGTTGTCAAAGTTAATGGGGAGGATGTTATTGAGATGTTCTGATTTCGATTGTGGGAAGCTTTATGTCTCTAATCCTTAATTCTAGACCCTATAATGCTTGGAGATGCACACACTCGATTGAGAAAAATAATAATTTCAAGCTCATGAGTGTATTGTAACAAATTATCAAGACCGTCCACTTCGTCGTAAAAATAAGTGTTTATAGTTCTATAAGATATGTACCATTTTTTGAGTTTCAAATTTTATTGTTGGTGTTGAAAATTAATTTTAGAGCCATCATGAAAATTTCTATTGCTGAAAATACTTTCAAGATGAGGATTTGAGGCGTAAAGCCTCGGGCCATATAAAAACTTCATCTATATATATTAATTTCTAGCATGATAGGGAACTCTCTTTGTCTTTCTCCCGAATGTCTAGCAATGTATGTATTAATTTCTATGGTCGTACTAACTATGGCGGATGATTTGGTACGTTTTATTCTCGATAGTTCAACTGTGCGAATTGCTTTTGAGATGTGGCGTTGCTAGTGTCGATTGTTGATTACTCAAGCTTACACCCAATTCCTAATGATAGAGTAGATTCACCTCAATTTATTTTGTTTCACCACCTACTTGATGGAAAATATGAAGCCCATGTCTTGCCTCGGCCTGTTACTGTTCTGATCGGTGATTCTTCAAGGGAAAGGTTAACGTGTGGCCTAGGATTACTTTTAGCTCTTTACTTTTTTTTTTTTTTTTCAATTCATTAACAAAGTAAAGATGATCAGGTTAATGGCTTTCTAGTTCAAGACGTATCTTGTAAATCGGTTTTTGTATTGTTCATTTTCAAGTGTTTACAAATCCGTAAGATCTATACTATTTTTTGAGTTTCAAAATTTATAAGCATGGGTTTTCAAGTCCTTCCAGGGATCTCTGATGTTGAAACTACATTTTCTAACATGGTTTCGAGATGTTTTAGTGCATAAACATATTGCCTTGTACTTGTTAGAATTTGTCGGAGCATAGAATAGAGAATGGAGAGAGAAGAAGAAAGTTAGAATTTGTCGGAGCATAGAATAGAGAATGGAGAGAGAAAAAGAAAGAACATAACCTGACGTGGGTTGGTTTCTATCTTCTAGATAGAGATAATTATTGTATGATAACCTGATGACCAAGTAATTTGGTTTCTATCTGGTTTCTATCTTCTAGATACCTAACCTTATCAAGAGATATATACATATACATCCATAATGATGTATATCAATATGAACCCGATATATCTATATCCTAACACTCTCCTTCAAACTCAAGATGCTTTTATATCCTAACACTCCCCCTCAAACTCAAGATGCTTTCATATCTTAACACTCCCCTCAAACACTCTCCTCAAAACACTCCCCTCAAACTCAAACTTAAGATGCTTGTGATGCTTTCATATCCTAATCTTATCAAGAGATATATACATATATCTATGAACCCTCAAACTCAATGCTTTCATATCCTAACACTCCCCCTCAAACTCAAGATGCTTTCATATCCTAACACTCCCCTTCAAACTCAAGATGAGTTCATATCCTAACACTCCCCCTCAAACTCAAGATGAGTTCATATCCTAACACTCCCCCTCAAACTCAAGATGTTTTCATATCCTAACACTCCCCTCAAATTCAAGATGCTTTGTCATGCTTTCATATCCTAACACTCCCCCCCTCAAACTCAATATGCTTTCATATCCTAACATTCCCCCTCAAACTACGATACTTTCATATCCTAACATTCCCCTCAAAGTCAAGATGCTTTCATAGCCTAACATTCCCCCTCAAACTCAAGATGCTTTCATATCCTAACATTCCCTTCAAACTCAAGATGCTTTCATATCCTAACTTTCCCCTCAAACTCAAGACAAACTCACGATGTGTGATACTTTCATATCCTAACACTCCCCCTCAAACTCAAGATGCTACTTTCATATCCTAACACTCCCCCTCAAACTCAAGATGCTACTTTCATATCCTAACACTCCCCCTCAAACTCAAGATGCTTTGACACAAAACAGCTGGAGTTTGAACAATACTAAGTTGTCAAAAAACGAGACTAGGGCCTTATTCTCTGAAGATCTTCTATCTCAAATGCTTCTTTTCTTTCTAGAGGCTTTCTCTCTCTAAAAGAAAAAGATCATCACACACGATGGAGCAACAGAAAACTCTATCATCCAATAGGATTGCGTAATGAAAAACTCAATCATTGAAACACAGGCATCTGGAACAAATAAGATCGAGTAAACTCGATCATCATACATGATGGAATAACGAAAACTCCATCATCAAACGAGATCAAGAAACGAAAAAACTTGATCACCAACAAGGATCGAGAAATTCGATCATCTTCATCTCTTCATCTGAAGAATGAACTTTTGATCATCAACCAGGACTGTGAAATTCGATCATCTTCATCTCCTCATCTGGAGACAGAACTCTTGATCATCAACCATAACTTCCCTTTGCATAGTAAGGGGACTGATCCAGAATCTGAATTTTCTTGTCCACATAGCGGTTACATTAGAAATGTTGACTTCATCTCTACTCATCTCATCTTCATATCTCCTATACTTTTTCCCTCAAGTTGGGTGTGGATGCGAAGAAACACCGAACTTGCAAAATACAAATTTTTTTTTTTGAGTACAATCATATATATAAAAAAAAAAATGCCAATGAAATTTGCCTTATAGACAATAGCCCACATC